AACTGCAAAAACTCCCGTTATGTGCTTCGCACATGGCAGTCAAAAATGAATCAGCTCGGTTATAACAAGCATTACTCACGAACTCCGTAAATGCTGATTCAAATTCTTGGCTCACTTAACTATATATGTTCAAGACTTCAAATAAATTTAACAGATCATACAGCTTTAAAAAAACTCAGGGACAAACAAATCGTACATTTACGTGTATTAGCTAAAATCAACCTACAATTTTGTCCCCTGGAGATTCAAGTTGTGATACATTTTTTAGCACAATGGTCTACAATTATGGCATTGGTACTATGTTTAGAGTTGCTTAACAAGTCTTTTTTTCACTACTGAAGGAGTATGGTCATCTGGTCAATTCTAGTGACTGTGTATAGAATGTTTTCTCCATTATCATATGTGACAGATAAGTCTATATTAAATATAAGAAATGTTTCAATAAGCCAGCATACAATAAATGTAATTAGAAATTGTTATGCATTTCTATATTTTGATTACAGATCCACTTCTAATCAAGTAAATGATAAGTGAATTTGATGAACACTATTTTATGAATTGGAATCAGCTCATAACTGACTGCATCTACATGACTAGTAGAATTACTCATCCACATTTATGGAATATAAAATCTATGCATACCTGAACCCCTGCTTTCTTACACATTGCGATAACATTCTGTGTACCAATATAATTTACTCTGTAGAACAGTTCTCTGCAAAAAACACATATCAGTCAAATTTAGCTGTTTTAAGAGCTATCAAGTGAGTGCTGTACTGATGATCTATGAAAACAAATGAAAGATGAAAATACACCATAGAGGGTGCAGTACAGGCCCTGCATTTATATACTTGTAACCCACTTGATAAGACAACTATTGGAATCATAACTGTACCTGTTATTACTAGCAGCTGGAGGAGACGCACAGTGAAACACCACACCTACACCACTAACAGCTGGAAAAAGATCCTGTAACAATAAATCAAGATACTGAATGATTATATAAGAGCTTCTACATCAATTCCACAATAATACACATACAATATTATTAATGTGCAAGCAATCACACAGGAATATAAATTACCCAGAATTTCATATTATTTATAACCTTAGTATAGCTTTCACTCATAATTGTTATTGGTATATTACTGTGAAATACTTTATTTTCGCTTGGAAATAATTTTCGTTGGAGGAATGATTCAGTGAAATAAAATCCATTGAATATAACTTTTTCCTATATTTTCCATATGACCTGCCAAACATCAGAGAAAATAAATTCAATACAAAACACCCAAATTGTATTTGTTGAATAGATAAAACGCCAATCTGAAAGCTTACTACAGTACAGCAACTCACATTGAATTGTGGGTAACAGTGTGCACTGTGTGACATTAGAGAGGAACATATAGGTGTAATAATAAACATGTGTACGACTATATCAGAATTAAAACAAAACATGTATGTTTCAACCAACTGTAGTTTACTTTCTGCACCATGCTCAATTTAAATTTACTTTCAACAGATTCTCAGTTCATTACCTGTTGTGAGCAGAGATCCCCTGTAAAGAAGCTAACTTTATCATTTTGAAAAGTTTGCCTGATGTCAAAGACATTAACTTTATAACCTCTTTTTAATAACTGATCTACCATGTGTCGTCCAAGAAATCCACAACCGCCTATCACGGTGCATGTTTGATTCTGAAAAAAAAAATTATAGATTGTTAGAACTAAGATTGACAAGGACAATTAGGCCAAAAAAACCAACTTATGTTGCCTCAAGTCGGAAAATTGAAAAATTGGGTCTGTCGGTCGGATTTTTTTTTTTTTTTTTAAACTTAATTTAAAATTTAATAGTTGATCCAGCTTTTGCTGTCATGCACATAGCAAACGTGTTCACCATGTTCGCTACCGCTGTACACATGTACGTACACACGATGACAAGCCCGGAAGTGAGAATACTGACAGCGCTAACACAACGTGCAAAAGCCGTCATTTGTTTGTGATGTAAGCGGATGAGAGTTTTAATATACAATGTCACGTTTTGTAAATTCAATACAATTTTGTGCATTTCATGTATTAAAAAGTATATTTACTACAACAAACAGATTGTTTTTGATTCAAAATAATGTTTTTATTTAATTAAGAAAATACTTCGTGCGGCGATATTTTTAATATTGTGCACCAACTATCCGTCAATTGCAAATGTCAAAATGACCTGAAATGCAAAAGACGTGTTTGCTTTTCAGACTTCATAATATTCGGAACATGTCAGAGAAATACAGATCAACCCGAGGTTCAAAGTCGCCACTTATCCCCGGGGACCCTGGGGATAAAACAACGGTTCGGGATCACTAATATTTGGAGAAAATACTTTTTTACTGGATTAAAAAGGTGAGTTTTTAATATTTGGGCCTACATTACATTAAACATAATAATTAAAGAAAATAATATTTCATATCTTTTATAGCAAATACAACATCAGTCCAGTCAATACAGCGAGATCAATTTTCATCTAAACATATTTTACATGTGTTGTATATGTAACATGGGACCCATATTAGATACAATGTAGTGAAACAAAAACTGTACTAATATATTTATTATTTTTTTTATAATAATACACCCAGATATTAATATTTCAATGTCATGTCTAACAAACATGGTATCAAAAACACATTTCATAATAAGTTTGAAGCCATTTGAACTATCTTGTCCCATCACCATACAGTACCATTTTTTTTAAGTGACTTAAGGTGACCTCTCTACCTATCACCTGTCACAATCATCAACATTCATATAAACAATCTTCAACTATGTCAGTTTGAATACTACAATATTTATGACATTACAAATATATATGTATCTCGATTTATAATGAAAAACAATATTCCCGAAACAAAATCAGAAGCAAGTGGACCTACCTCAGCCATGTTGAATATCGCGCGACATCCGGGGTATTTGAGAAAGGACCTGAGGTCAGGTTAAATACACCTGCTTTGATTGGTCATTCGATTGTCAGCTGTTCGAAGTTATCTGTATATTGTTTTGGCTTACCGTGAAATTCAAACTCCAGTTTTGTCGATACACAATTTCTATAAAGAGTTAAAGCCTTTGGCTTTACATGATTGCGGGAAATGAATCTGAGATGAAACTGACCTCGTACCGATTATGTGTATATTTATAGATAGACCAATGATTGAGCTCGTTTTATAAGACATTTTACCCATCATCCTCTACGGTGGCGGTTGGTTCGTTTCTAGCAAAACATTACATTGACAGGACGTCCAGGAAGTATCGTCATGGTAAGTGTACCTCTGAAAAATATCTCATTGTTATGATCCCCTGAACAAACGTGGCTGTTAGTTTCTAGAATTTGGGTTTATTCACATGTGTAAATAATAGCATATGTTTTTCAATTTTCCATTCCCTGAATATCGATGAAAATCTCATGTTTTCGTCGCTGCTGGATTGAGCATTCCACTCACGCAGTGTTGAACACTGCTGACCAAGTCGTCAGGTGGCTAGGTTTATGCGCCGTAACTTGACAAACCCTTCGCGCGAACACCATTTTTTCTTGTCAATAGAAGATGACATTTTTAATAAGTATTACTACAATTCAATATTCTTAATATCTAAATAATTCGCTGCGTTATTGAAAGTTTACAACATTTTTGCGAACGGAGCTAAGACATGCTTGAACTTGCAGAGATTGGCGAGGACAAGCGTTAACAAATTTATTGAGTGTCCTTGTCGGTAGATTTCATTTACCAAGTCCGCGTTCTTTGAAAAAAATGCTCACAAAAATATTGGTAATTTTTATTTTTTAACTACAATTGCTTAAAATTTAATGGGAGTCTTTTGGTTGACTGTGGCACTGCGTTCAGGCGATTGCCAAGTTTTGTCAGCGTGCCAGGTTGCTTTCCTTGAGCCAAAGAAGTTCATTCATTCATTCATTTTATGTAGTACGTGTTGAGACATACTTATAGATACATGTAGTGTATTGTAATATCAAAGCTGATCTTCTGATAACTATTTGGTCATTTATAATCGGGGGGGGGGGTCTGCCGTATGGAGATATTTGCTGTGACAGTGTCATTCTGTTGATGCATTTTATAGGGCCTATTAATTTATGATTACAGCAACTGAGCTTGCCATCTAATTCAGTTTTACTTGGGATTTACTCAACACACTTAAGCTAACAGAAACTTTACAACTATTCTTTTTCTCTGATATGCTAAGTGATTTGTAGTTGGACCAATAATAAATTATATAGAATTTTAATATTTGATTGCTTGACTATGAACTGAAGCAGTTATTAAAATCTGTAACTAAGAGTGATGTGGTGTTTCTGTTGAAATTGGTTCAAATTTAAAGTGGTGTTCACACTCACTTCATGCCAAATTCGTGTATAAAATAATGTAAACTTACAAAATCGGGAACCATCATCATCCAGCTTCATATCATAATTTTTTTTTTTATACATTCTTGACTTTTCCAACAACTCTTAATAAATACTTGTAGCCACTTATTGCGTCTGGCATGAGTTTTGAAAACTGAGTATTGGAGCATAATTGGCCAAGTATCGCCACATTCCTTGTCCATTTGTTGATCTAGTGCATTGATAGTATAGTATACTTCATACTGAATGAAAAAGTGCATTTTCCTTGATGAGTGTACCATATTTGCTGTATTAGAAGTGCATCTCCAATAGAAGCATTGTAAATGACCAATTTCATTAACTGGTTACTTAATTATTCAAATATTATATATTTTTTGTCCATAGACTTAGCACTTGCGGTACTAATAGAACAAATACAGTAACAATATCCAATAATGAACTAGTTCAAGACTGGCATTTGTGTTTTTGATATAACAGGGTCAAATCACTAGCCATTATCTTGTAGTTATCTACTCTAGTGGTTATTTATTATTGATACATATAGGTGTGATGACTGACATGTCTAGGCAGACAGTCTCAATCTTAAACGGGTGTTAAAACCTGGTTATAAGTCTAGTTTTTAACTGTCCTTAAGGGCCAGCGGATGCCCACCACAGATGAGCAGACTTGCTGGCTACAACACTATTAGTAGTACTCTAGCTTGTCAGTAATCCTAACCTTGCCTATAAATTTGTCTTACACTCTGTCAATAACCTTATTGCTAAATATAAGATATCCAACATCCTTGTTTAAAATCCTAGAAATATTATATGGCTAAGCAGCTTTGTGGGCTAATTTATAACTCAAATTTAGATTTTTTAATATTTTTAATATAACCTTTCATAAATGACTGGTTTTCTAAAAAAAAAAAAAACGAATGTTTTTTCTTGATCTTCACCTACTAGTCATATTAGTCCATAGTCAGTTCAGAGTCTAAAAAGCAGATGTAGATGTAAATAGTAGATTGTATTTTGCTTTTAGTAATGCCTTGATGGACAATTGTATTAGTATCCACAAATTTATACGGTTGACTGCTGTTAAAATGGTGCTTTGTCACCTTTGAACTAGTTTGCGAGTCATTTTGGACAATGAAAAACGAAAACTTGATTGAATGATTGAAATGGTTCTTTCTTGAGAATCAGGAAGTCATTTCCATCTGTATACTTGGGGACACCTATAGAGCTATTAGGAATCGGTTTCTGTCATTGGATTCATCTGCAGTGTGTTAGCTAATGACTTTGTAAATATCACTGTAACACTATTTACTTTGGGAGACTTAATGCTTGTTTTCATGTAATTTTCCCATCATGGTACCCGATCCATCATCAAAAAATACTGTTAATACCTGTATCTATGCAGAGACATTCTATTTCGTTAAGCATATGCCAACACAAATTTATTCTGGTACACATGTGCCCTTCTGTCTCATTGAAGAGCGGTGGTTGTCGTGCTGCGCATGTGCAACATATGTGTTGATAAACAATTTCCCACAATCCAATGTGCTCTTCTAATGGAAATCGCAAGTACGAGGTTTGACCTGGGCACGACTTGCACTAATCACCGCCGTTGACTCCTTTGATACCTTCTAATCACCTAAAAAATACCTAATTAAAACTTGGTAACGTCTCAGTTTGTACTCGTTGATCTGCGCAACAGTCAAGGTCTCCTTCTTTGTTTATATGAGATCCGTATATCTCGCGCATACATGGCGCAACGACTACCGCTCTTTAGCTTCCTGAAATTTATACTGAATAAATTTCATTGGCATTGTAGTATCAATGTTTTTTTTGTGTCGTAATTGTCAGTAAATACAAGCAATAGCATAATTGGGCAATGAATCCTTTTAGTGCAGTGTTCTCCCCAGAAAAATGTATCAGAGTGATGGCTAATTTGCATATGATTTACATATCATTAGCATGGATGAAATTGTGTCTTTATTTTTTAACAAATTTATGTACAAGATTAAATGAATCTGCTGCTGTGTGATTTCTATGTAATGTTGATTCTTCGGACTTTCATGGAAGCCCAGTGATCTGCAGCTTTTGAGAACGCCGCGATTTCCCACTAATAATGACATGGCCGCCTTGTGCATCTCAGAGTGTGCGTGTTTTTCGATAGCATATTTCGTAATATTTATACATGGCATAGAATTCCATACCAAAGAACTATTTCTGGATGTTTTTAAGTTGAATTTTCCACATATGTGACACAGCATTCCTAAAAGATAAGAAATAGGAGCGAATCAATACTTGTATTTAAAAAATATCGTCACGATCAACACGAAAATGAACAAATTGCCGCCATTTTGAAAAGTCGCTAAACTAAAAAATTGCCACGATAAAATTTACCCAACTATTTCAAAACACAATACTAGTATTAGTTATTTTGATAAATCGTAGCCAACAATTTTTGAACTTCCAGAAAGAAAGTCGTTTACAAAAAAATGTTT